AAAAAGGGGGAAAATGTACCTTGTTGGGACTTCTTGTCCCTATGATGATGATGATGATTATGATTGAAGAAAGTACAAGCTTTTCTAAAAGGAGAAGTTATTGTACGAACCCAAGAAGCCATTTTTGCATTATTGTTTTTGTCCAAAAGAGTTTGATGTCTTATATAGGAATGTGGGCTCAAAAGGCTTAGCAAGATCCGTAACACAAGCTGTTTGGGATTTAATCATCATGTAATAATGAAGCAATAGATTATTTAATTTAACCCAATAATAATAATTAAAAAAAAAAAAGAATATATATGTATGTTGTAAGTCACAATTTTTACCAATAATAAACGGCGTATTTAATGCAAAGATTCTATAAAAACCATGAGCGAGCGTGCCTAATTGTGTGTGTTAATGCACAAAAAGTCATGACTTATGTGTAGTTGTAGTTGGTATCATAAGACTTTTTTTCACCGCGCGCATATTTGTAATCGTAATGATGCAACATGAGTCTAGAGACTTTGACTCACTCCTAACTAATTGTACGAAAATGTTAAGATTCACTCGTGGTTGGCTCCACTCGCGAGTCACGAATGTACAATGTCGGCTGGTCTATCACCTCTGTTTTCGTCGCGAGTCGCGAAACCACTCGCGACGCGCGACAAATCTCGCGAGTCGCGACATTGTATACCGTTGCGCCAATTTTTTCGGCTCGTTTGGACCAATATGAAACTTTGAACTTGTTCTTGTAACATTAGTGTGACCAACTGACTTGTGGTTGGTTTTCCAATGCGAATGAGGAACCGACATGTGGTTGCCCATTACGCCTTTGTATGCCGTAGACCAGTAGACCAAAACAGTTTTGATATATATATTTATATTTAATGATAAAAAAAAAATGTTAAGATTCAAATAAGACAGAAAATTCTAAAAAAAAAATAAAAATAAAATTGAGGGTCAAATTGGCTGCAATAGGTGGAATTTGATAAGGAATCCACTTAACGCAATGTGTTTAATTTGAATATGACATTTCTGTTTTCGAAAAACATATTATAATAGTGATTTATGGTCCAATCCCAAATGTTATGTTCGTGTTAATTGTGTGAAGAACAAGTTTTGTCGAAAATTAGTTTGTAATCGTAAGTATGCAACATTTGTAGTCATAATTTGTAATCGTAATTATGGCCCGAGCCCATGGACTTTGACTCATACCTAACTAATTGTACAAAAATGATAAGATTCGAAATAAAAAAAAGGGTCAAACTTGCTAAAAAGGTGGAGTTTGAGGCCAAATCAACTTAACGCAATGGCTGTAAATTGTAATATGAATATGACATTTCCGCATTTGGAAACATACTGTAATAGCGATTTTCTGGTCCAATCACAAATGTTATGTTCGTTTAAAGTTATGCGAAGAGCAAGTTTTTAGCTTATTCAGAAGTCAAAAAATATAAATGTTATTAATTGTGAAAGATTGTAGCTTTGCACATGGCTCACATTTCCCAAATTGGGCCAAATGCATGTGAAGATGCCCCATACCTTTGCATTCTATAAACGAGATGAATTGAAAATTGATTGTCAACCCCACAATAAGACCTCCCTCAAAGCAATGAAATGGCATTTATGATTTATCTAAATCTAATCTTATCACACCAAAAGAATGGAGCCAATGAGCCCGCAATAAAGAAATTTGGCAAGATTACGTTACCCTAAAAAGATAGAAGGCTTTCGTCTTCACGTAATTATGTGTTTTGGAATTATATGGGTGGAAATAGAAAATAAATTGCATGTTGATCCCATGAAATTTGGTAGTATTGATTTCCAAACCTTATCTTTTCTTTTGTCTCATTGGAGTATATATGTGAATGATACCATCAATTTGTAATCTTCCTTATCTCACATGAAAATTGAAATGGAATCTAAGGCTATGTTTGGTAAAACTAGCTGATAAGCTAGCTTATAGCTTATGTATAATTTTTGAGCTTATAGCTGAAAAGCTAGCTTATATGATAAAAGTGTTTAGTAAAATTAGCTGATAAACTAGTTGAAATAAAAAATTCAACTAGCTTATTTGAAAAGCTACCTAAAGTAGCTTATGAGATAAGCTCAAACTTTTTAAAAAAACTTGTAGATTTATTTGAATACAGGAAGCTTATAAGCTAACCAAATAAGCTATAAGCTAGGTTATTTGACTTACCAAACACAGTCTAAGAAATATGCATCTTTTAGCCTGTATTGTATAATCACCATATCTAAATCAATGCAACCAAGTGTTGAAGGTTGTTTTGGTAAGCATATAAGCTATACCTTATATCTTATTTGATTAGCTTATAAATTTCTTATATTCAAATAAATTTAATTGGTAGGACGAGCTGTTGCAAAAATCTCAAACTTATCTCATAAACTTTCTTGGGTAGTTTTTCAAATAAGTCCATTAAAATTATTATTTTAGCTAATTTATCTACTAATTTTATCAAAAATTTTATCATATAAACTAATTTTTCAGTCATAAGTCACCAGCTATCAACTATAAACTCGAAGTTGACTTAAAAGTTATAAGCTTGCTTATTAGATAGGTTTAACAAACATATCCCAAGTCATATCTATGACAATCTCGATTTCGAAAAAGTCAATTCTGCCATTGTGGACCGAGTTTTTTTTACCATTTAATCACACTTTGAGTAAATGTTGCTCTAAGTTCTAACAATAAAAAAAACTCAGTGTCCACATTGATAGGTACTAATTTTCGTTGGGTTTCAATTGGGATAAGGAGTTTGCATTCGTACAATAATGTACTATGGGTTGCAAGTGGAGTTCAAAGACAATATGTTCTGAGACGACTGTGACTATTCACATTGATGCACATGAATCGCACATGGACTTGCTTTGTTCACCTAAGAACATGTTCAAAAAATGTTAAAACCACTGCACAAGAAGGTCAGGCACATGGGGCCTTTCCTCTTTCAATTTTCTGACAAATGTATAATAGCAAACTCAGAGATAGATGGAAAATGCAGACTATATTCATTGAACAATTTGCAATTCAGAAAGAAAACCAAATTGCAGAGAAAAGTAACACAATCCAAAGATTTGAACCAAATTTATCTATATTTATTTAAGAAGCTTAAAAGTTTCACATTTATGAATCTGCAACTATGTGATAGATTACCCCTTATCAGAAAAATATGTACTAACTAATAACCGGTCAATAACTCTCCTGAAAGGTTGAAACCAATAACCCCAGGCCAAATTCGTGATACTTATGAAGAAAATAAGTCGCATGACTAGGCCTGTTAACGAGCCAAGCTGAGCTCAACTCGTGAAATAAACAAGCCAAAAATCAAACTCGAGCTCAACTCATTTATCACTATTTAACGATCCAAATTCGAGCCTTAACGAGTCAATCTATAAAAAATTATATAAAAATTCTATTCTCGAATCTTATCGAGTTAACGAAACAAGCTTTAAATGAGCTTGAGCTTGACTCGTTAAGGCCTCGAGCTAGAGTCGAGCCGAGCTAAGCTCATTTAATTTAACAGCACTACGCGCACGGCAACCATATAAACGAAACAAACAAAATCCAAACACAAAATTACCGCATTACACAACTTCCGGAAATATTACAAAAGCGCAACAGATTCCAAAAGCTCCACGAAAAAGGTCTTTCGAACACTCCCCCTTAAACAATTTTCCAGCTTAACTAACCACTTTGAAGTTTGGACGTGAAAAACGCAGAAATGAGAAAACCGAATCAGTTTTCCGTATATCTCCTCGAAAAGCAGAAACTGCAGCCAATAATTTGTTCATCAATCATAACCCAA